TGTGGCCCAGTGGTCACACTGTGTGCATGTAGCAAGAAGAACACAGGTAAGACACCAAGAAGAGTTTCTTTCCTTGAGGACTGAGTACTCCAAAGAAGCTCTCATTGCCTCCTCAGACACTCCATCCTTGACAACATTAATTCACAGTGGATTCTACTCTCTCTTAGTGGGAAAGGTTTAGATGCAAAAGAAAGACAGTAGAGTGATGCAAAAATTATTCTTTCACAGTTCTGTATGGCCTGTGATTCTTAAAACCGAAATAAGACCAAAAAAAGCTGCAAGTGTCTGAAGCAGCTAGCTGTTTTGAGACAATGGCTCTCAACATGAACTAAAAGCCATCAAATCATTTGAAAAGTTTCTGCATCTCAGAAAGTAGACTGATGATTGCCAAGAGCTCAGAGGGATATGAGAAACAGGGGTGACCACAAAATAGGTACTGGAGTTTTACTTAGAGCAGTAGAAAACATACAGGGGGTGGTGGGGACACAACATTGTGAGGGTCACAATGAGATTAAAATGCTACGGAATTGTTTATCTTAAATGGCTAATTTTATATTATGTGAATGTCATTTCAATAAAAAGAAATTCAGGTTTTAAAATTCAGTCTTTTGCTTTTCAGGAGTTATAGGGAAAAGTAATAAGTATTTAAAATGTTAATATCTCAGTTTCTAGATGAAATACTCACAAAAATACCACCTTTGAGCATAACCATATTAAAATGAATAATTTACTTACAAGTATAATATTCCCCCTTCATTTTAGTGTGTCTCACTGCACTTACATATAAGAAGATGTTAAGCTGGAAAAGTAAGTACATTTGCCACATATTTCATATCCTAATTCATTTGAAATGCAAATGACCAAAGACAAAAACTAAATAAGATAAATTTGGATTGGTAACTATTTATGTCTAAGGGCAGAAAAGTATATAGTTTGTTGACACTAGCAGTTCTGTGACTATGTGTTCATGGAGGGCTTTTTTTGCATTGTTATTTATTTAATTTTCAATTAACAAGTATATACGGGGAATAATGTGATGCTTTGATATATGCTTCCATCGCAGGATGATTAAATTAAACTCAACTGACCGTTTTTGATACCTCATATATTTACTATTTTTTCTCTTTTTTCTTTTTTTTTGGAGAGGTTTTTGCTATAGGGTGTGTGCGCTCACCAGACAGACAGAGAGAGACAGAGAGACAGAAAGCGAGAAATCATCCCCCGGGGAGATGGTCACGCCGCAATCCCTTCTCCTCCATTCTCCCCGCCAGGATCCTGGGCACGCACACACAAGCACCTGGCGTGAGTTTAAGCCACCAGGTCCAGGACGCGAACCATGGTCGACTATGTGAGAGTCCAGCAACATAGCCATTATGCTAACTGCTGGTCCCACTATGTTTTCTTTTTGTGGTGAGAACAGTTAAAATCTGATTTTAGCAATTTTGAAATATATAACACATCATTAATGATAGTCACCTTTTATGCAATGGAAAAGTAAGTTTTAGTGATACATGACTTAAATAGGCTACTTTGAATTTAATGGAACTCTATAGTACTGGCCATTTACTCAGAACGACTGTCAAATATGCACACAGCAACATATTATAGGTTATATATTCCTCGCATTCTCACAACCTCTGTAAGAATCCATATGGACTAAAATGCAGCATGTGAGTATTACTACAGTTTTATTCATTTCCCAGATTTCAGTCACAGAAATTATTCTCATCCTCTCCAAAATCTATAAAAATACATGCCTGGAATTATTCCATTTAAATGCTTCCATTTGGCTCTTAAACTTTACCCAATGAATTCCTCACAGTACTTTTTTATGTGAAGTTGGGAGAGAAATAGTTTTATCTAGTAAATACATAAAATAGATCACTGAAGAATTGAAAGTTCATATATCTCTGTTGGCTATTTTTAATTACAGACTTTTTTGTTAATCAATCATATTTATATTTATCCTTCATGTAAATTGGGCAAATTTTATGAAAAGTTATATATAACCCTCAAATTTATTAATGGTATTTTTTTTAAAAAAAGTAACAGCACCCAAATTCAGCTATTACCTATTTTTCCCCTAAATAAAATAAAGAAAAATGATTCAAATTAACATCTTATTCTACACACATCTTAAGCTACTCAAACTGAAAAAGGAGACTATTATTCCCTTATTTATAATGAATTCATTCTTACCTGCATGAGAAACAAATCTCCTGTTGGAAGACTTGGCTACTGAATATTGGAAGAAGGGAAATTTCAGGCATTTGCCCGTCACTCTGTCACATATGCCCAACTGGCACTTGCAGGTCTCTTTGCATTCCATTCCGAAGGTGCCGTAGGGGCAGTCTGAGGACAGAGGAAAGGTTTAGCGAAGGAGCCACTGGTTGTGCAGAAACCTCCATCCTCACATCCCTGAGTGCATAACCTGAGGATTTGAACCTACCTCTTGAATCTTGACTGTAAAATGAAACCCAATGATCAAAAGCCCAGGCTTTGAAAGTTGAAACATTGAGTCATAAATGTAAAACAGTAGACTAAACCAAATAATGGATGCCTCAGGCTTAGTGTTAGAATGTAAAGTTTAGCTGAAGACAGCTACAGAGGACCAATCTTCTTGAACCAATCTTAGCTCTGTTCATATTCAGCTTAGATACTGAGAGACGGGTTCTCAGGAATTACATCTGTGACAGCTCAGTGAAGGTGGGAAGGTGAACAGACGTATGCATCAGCTCCTTAAAGAGTTTACAAGATGTGATGCTGCCTTTGAATGACAGTGTTTACAGACATTGTGCGGTCTTAAATGTACAACCGGGGATAAGAGATCTATCATTCAAGCTCACAATGGAGCAATAATACTCAATCTGCTCCAACTCTTATCTAGTTCCTTATCTGCCAGACAGTAGTATAACTTACCTAACTCCTTCAGTTGCTAAGAGGGCTCACTAGCAAAATCCTCTGCAAAGCCAAGATACAAGATGCTAAATGAACAAGAAAGCTGAGGGTTTATACACCCTAAGAGTTTCTGCACTTACCAAGAACTGGAAGCTTTTAATGTCTTTATATTTAGATTATAAAATCTTACATTGAAATAAAGAAGACAAAATCATTTATTATAAAATGCATGATTTTTTATGATGTAAACAGTATCTCAATAGATTAAACAGTCTTTAAAAGCCAGAAGAATATGTGTAGAATGCTTATTCTCTTGGCATGAAAATATCATTGTAAATATACAATCACATATAGGTAAAGAAATAAATTACAAAGCATCTGAATCTTCAGCAATCTTCTATCCCACTGAATGATCAAGATTGACATTAATAAAATATATATTTTAAAGAGACTAAAGACTCCAGGTGCCTTACAGCTTGTTTATCAATCTGTAAGTAGTTGTGCATTTATAATCATATTTACAAAGTCATTTTTATACCTCTTATTGGTTATAAACAAAAATAAACTAAGCAAAAATCTTAATTCTTCTAATAGCTCAAAAATTTATTTCCAAACCTTTTGTATGTTTTTCAGATTAAAAGATGATTAGCTTATAAATTATTTGTCTCAAAGGGATAAGGATTAATGACATTACAATGCAAGATGATTAGTATTCATAAAAGAATATAACTGTATTACATATATAAAGTATAAAAGTTATTTAGAGGTGTTCTACTCCTTTTTTATAATTGTAAAAGCTTCTTAGTATTCTAAGACTGATGGAGGTGTATATGCTGTATCTTCATAATAGCTCTCAATGATGGGATAATGGGAGAGCTACATAGAGAATATTTTAAAGCACCATTCTTCTGATTCTAAATATTTTTAAAGTGCTACACATTTTAAAATAGTCACTAAGTTTAAAATACATTCTTTAAATGCTTAACTACACCATTTAGCTGAAATTTCAACCTTCTAACATTTTTCTCTAAGTCTATGAGATGGTCAACCACATTGTTTACAAACTTCCAGATTTTTTCTTCACTCTTATCTTTACTTGTCTTCCACCATCTGCTATTTTCCAGGTGACCAAAACCTTTATAAGGTGGAATTAGGTTTGTCTTATTCTTCAGAAGACTCTTTTTCAAGAATGTGAGTTATTTCATTAGGAGGCTTAAGTTCACTCTGTTCCATAAAGTGCATTAGCATTCATCAGAAATACGTGATCTTAAGAGAACCCCTCCATCCTGTGGATCTTTTCAAGATCAAAGAATCACTAAATCCAGGGGTAGAAAGCACTCCAAGAGGTTATCTAGTGGAGACTTCTCTAAGCCCTGCCTTACAGAAGAGACAGCACTTAAACTATCCCTAACAGATTACCTGTCAGATTTGAAAGTCTTCCAGAAAAAGGAGAAACACAGTCGTTCCAATTTCTTTCTTAGCTCCCCTGAACATAATGACTGGAATGCTGCATCCCTTTCTGTGCCCTCCTCCACATTAGTTTCAGTTGCTATTTGCAGGCTTATCCTTCTCTGCTACCTGCGTCAACACCTGTGCGGGGCCTTGTCAAGAACCCACCTGCATTTTCCCTCTGAGCCGCAGGGAACCAAGACCCTTCACCTCCCAAGCTGGCTAAAAGCTCTCAGCAAGCCCTGGGCAGGGGGAAGCGAGGGGTCAATCTTTACCTTTGCAGATACCAAACTCGTCACCAAAATCATCCTCCTCACTGTAAAACTGACACCTCAGCCCTGGGCCACACTTCACGCCATCCATGCCCGACACGGTGCGGTAGCACGTTTCCCCCAGCCCTGCGGCGCACACGCGACAGCAGCCGCAGTCATCCAGCACGGTCCTCTTGCAGCGCAGGCTGCTTTTGCACTCACTGCTGTCACAGTGTTCGGGGCAATCCACCGCATACTTGGCGCCCCAGGTCGTGGCCAGGTGCGCAGGTACGAGGAGTGTGGTCAGCAGCAAGAGGCTCTTCATTCTCCCAGCTGGCTCCGGCTCAGTCCCCTACGTCGTGGTCTTGGCTGATGAGAAGCAGCCGTCCAAAGTAGTAGCTGAGCCTCTGCCTACACGTTTAGGAGTTTTATACACTGGTTGCCCACATGCCTCCCCGTCATCAATTTCCTCAACCCAGCAGCAGCGCTGTCCTCCTGCCAGGCTCTCTTGTTTTAGTTTATGAAATCCAGGATGAAGGCTGGATTAACACGCCGCTGCCATCCAGGAATTGAAAAGCCCAAGCTGATGTCATCTGTTATGTTTAGATGGTTGTTTTGCATGAGGACTAAAAAACTCGCTCACATCCGTCTCAGGGGCTCAAGGACGTCTGTGAAGGGGGAATAAAGAAGGTCGCATACCCTCCTTCAGGACAGGAATTGTTCTGACACCGGCATGTCACTTGTGGTGTAGCTTTGTCTCGGAGCCTCTGTAGCCAGGAGGAAAATGATATCCACATGAATCATCAGGACCGAAGAAGCTTCTTAAAAAATAATAATAATAATAAACATTTGGTATTTCCCCTCAATAAATAGTTATGAGATAATTTGGAAAAAGAAAGGGTTATATTGTGCCTTTTCAATACTTAGAAGAAAGAAAATATTTTGATAGGGATTTTTTTAAAGTCCCTCTCTTCCTTCCTCCCACTCCTTTCCTCAAATGTTATTTCTAAAGCAATTTATGTCATATATATCTAAGTCTGTCATGGAGATAGCTGTGTTTCTAGTAAGATGTGGGATCACAGCTGAAAATTTCCTTTAAAATCAGCATGAAAAGCCACAAAAGAGGTAAGCTTGGCTGGCACTGTGTCTAAGTTACTCAGTTCTAGAAAAATTTATCAGTTGGACTTCTCTTGACCAAAAACTCCTGGGGAGACAACTCTTCCTTCACTAGGTCTGCTCGTCCAATGATGGAGTCCATTCAGAGCCCTTCCCCTTACCTCCTGGCATCTCTCTGAGCCCTCACTACAAACTGCCAAACAAGGCAGCCAGCCCAAAGAAACAAGTGAGCCAGTGGGGATATCGGAACGCAGCCCCAGAGAGACGAGTCGCAGGGAAGGAAAAACACTGCCCATCAGGAAACAAGGTCTGCATGCTATGGAGGGTCACAGGGCCTGGGTCCCACTGGGGAAAACAGAGTAGCCCTCTTAAAATACCAACGGGACCAGGGCCTTATTCAGCAAGCTTTGTGGAACAGAAAGAGAAAGATGAAAGAGGAGAGAGGAGAGTTCTGACACCAACGAAGGTTGGATTCCAAACCCCGAACCCCACTTGTCAAAATAGATATAAACCCACTGTCATTTAGTAAATAAACAACCCAGAAAAGCGGATAGCTCTTGGTTTGTCACAAATTAGTTGTGGGAGATCCACAGGACTTCTCTTAGCCTCAGCTTCCTCTTTCAAGAGTTGTTTGCTAGGCTGGTTTACCTCTAAAAGCCTTGTACCCTCTAGAAGAGGAGGCAGGAAGGCCACTGGATGCGACTTAATAATTGGCCTTTGCAAATGCAATTTTGGGGAGATGGGGGAGGAGAAGCCAGACCACAGCGAATTGTAGAGGTAGGAAATGAGGGCAAGAATTTAGTTTCCAAATTTCTCATGACAATCCAATTTTAAATACTCCATATTCATCTCCCTGGAAGCAAACATGTACATAGTGTGTGGCATGCTCCGATTGTTTTCAATAGTGGCTCTCCTGAAGATTCAGCATATGCCAAGCACCATTCTTAGACATTATATGTATATATTAACTTGTTTGCTTTTCACCACAATATTATAAAGCAGATAGATACTATCGTCATGTTCATTTTTTAAATGAGGAAGCTGAGTCAGAGAGATTTTATAATTTGTATAAGTCCCCATAATGTTAGAGATTGACAATGAACCCCATCACTCTCATGTCGAAGCCACACATTCTATTGCTTCCATCATCAATGGTTCCAACGACCTAGTTCACAATCTCGGCTGACCCTGGAAAAGGTTGCTTCTTCAAAATTTGCCAAACACCACTTTCTGAAGAGACAGTGATTAATTGGAAGAGTAGTTAACAATGATGCAAACTCTTTATAGAGAAAGTACTATGTGGGCGACACCATGCTAAGTATTTTATGTGGATTGCCACATTTAATTTTCAAAACAACCTCATGAACTAGGTGCTATTCTTATTCCCATCTTAGAGAAAACTAAGGCCTAGAGAAGTTAAAGTAACTTGTCCAACAGTTAGAAAATGTTGAGGCCAGTTCTTTAGCTCTGAGACAAATGGGTTCTGGAGACTGAAACAAGTGTTGCAAAATTGAATACACGCAGATGCCAGCAGGTGACCCAGATGAGTTTGGTGGTAAACTACACCAAGCCTGATGCAGAGGGAATAGGGTGAATTTTGCCCACTTGAAGAACACAGAAAGATTAAACCTTTCTACTATGTAAAACAAAGAGGAACCATGTTGTTAATACCTTCAGTAAATGACTAAACAGAAAAAAGATTGAAGTGAGAGTACCAAATCCTCAACAGTAACTAAATAGTTACTGAGGGTATCAACTCTGTAACAATAAACCAAAACACAGACAGTGAAGAAGTATGCTCTCCAGAGTTTATCATGGTGGAACTATCTTAGTGCATAGTACCTCATAATTTATTTGGAAGAAATTTTTGGTTCCTTCCAAGATCCAACACAAACTGTCCAACATGGAATAATGCCTATGGGATTTTTATCTAGTTGTACTTCTGTCTTCCCTAACTTTGAACCCAAACCAACCAATTCTATTAGAAAAGTTTACAATGACCACTAAGGGTTAAGAAATCAGAATATGAGCAACCAAGAGCCAAATTAAATTTCTTTTTTTTTTTCTTTTTAAACTAAGGTAAGTGCATGAGGTCAGTTGGTTGGTTTGCTTTGTGCTGAGGGCTGACATATCTCCAAACTTGCTCTGCCTGTGAATCAGTTGTCAAGTCAAAGAGTGAGAAAGGGCAACGAGAATAGCAAAAGCTTTTCACAACTCTGAAAACATGATTCGAAGCAATGGTGAGTCAAACCATATCATCTTGGGGTCCAAAGGATATAGAATGTGGTCCTCTGAAATGGAGAAATAACACAATCGAATAGCTATTCAACACGGTACACGCTGTACATTTAAAATGCCATTATAATATTTTCTCTTAAACTTGGTATTGTGCCCACTAGGAAAATTAGCCTACATAATATGCATTGATACCTGTAATTCATTTTGCACGTTACCATTGCTTATAACCAAATACTAAGGATTATATATATATATTTTTTTTTTTTTTTCTGGATAGGCAACATTGGTCCAGTGAAAAAGGTTCTAAAGGGCAGGTTGCAAACCCTCAAGAAATGATTCCTGATCAAGCCAAATTGTACCAGACTTCTGGTGCCTTCTTAATACAACATTTCTTCCAGATAAGTTTGATAGAAATTGAGTTGCAAAGGAGAATTTGAAGGCAAAAAGTTCCAAGGATTCCAAGGAGCTAGTGAAGATGTTTAGAAGCAGATCAGGTGCATGAGACGTGCTTTTCAGTTTAGATTTTTTGTTGTTGTTGGTACCATCTGAAAGTCTTTCTGCTTTGATACCAGCAGATGTCAATCTTGCCTGTGCTTAGTGCAGGTCTAGCACATATTAGCAGCTTATTCTTAAATGAACATATAAATGTAGCCCACTGTTTCCTAGAATCATTTTCAGAGAGTATTACGTTAAAGTGGGTATCATCATGTTCCCTTTCTCATTCTACCAAGAGAAAGAAGCAAAGTGAGGTCCAGGTCCTTGGACAGTCTCCATTGAGCTGGAGAAGTTATTTCTTTGCAGAAATAAGGTAGACATTTTCAGAAACAGCAGAAACCCCACTGAAGACTGAGTGGAGCTTGAGCAAAGACTGTGAGCCCATCATGTCGGCTCTTCCCAGTTCACCAACTCTGCCTCTCTTGACCTTTTAGCCTGAAGGAGCCTGATTTGACAGCACCAAATCCACCCTGAGATGTTCTTGGGAGCCCCTCATGGCCAGTGGATTCTAATTTGGGTTCACATCTGCCAAACTGGCTAAGATTTACAGCAATCACAAGTCATCCAAGCTCAGAACTTAAGGGATCCTCCCAGAGCCTATCGTCCTAGCAACAGCTTTCAGGGGGTCTAGAAACAGCTTGGCCACTACCAAGCTATATGATCTTAGGCAAATCACATGCCATGCACCTTAGCCCTCTCCTCTCTACCTCAGTCATGAATAACAGGACCAAAGAGGGTGGCAGATGTGAAAGTATAGCGGTTTTTATTATCAAGAGTACAATTTCTTATTTCTTTTATTCTTTAGTAGTGATCTTACTTATTGGAGCAAATATTTTCTCCAAAAACATTTTGTCCAATTCTTTAAGTTTCAATTTTTAATAAAGACAATTTAAATAGCAAAATGAGGGTCAAAGTACTCCTATATGATCTACAGGCAATTTTCAAAAACTTCAGCTTCTTACAAGAAAAGTGAAGTGCACCTGCTTTACTGAGGCTTCTTGCTTGGATACAGGTTCTGACCTGTTTCAATGAGTTGGTCAGAATGGTAGACAGCCAGAGTGCCATCACAGCCACTTGTAGCTAATAGGCCTGCGGGAATCACAACTGTCCAGAGTGTGACCAGATCAGGACACAGTGTCTGGTCAGATCACTACAGTGTCTGCTATAAACCTCAACCCAGAATCTCTGGGCACCCCTCAGAGAACTTTGTCATATTCTGATCTTTGATGGCAAGGGAATCTCTGAGGAAACAGCCACAGAATCAGGTTGTTTTTAAACTCTAGTCAAATCTATACACTACAATTTAAGGTCCTCACTAATAAAAATTCTTTTAGATCCAGAAAGTCTAGACTTGCTGACAGGAGACATTTCTCACTTACTCAGCTGCCTTCATCTCCTCTTTGCCCCCTATTCTAGCAGGTTCTAATGCAAGGAGTCAAGTTTTTCTAACATCTAGCTCTTCCTCAGAACAGGCTTCTGGGCCTATGAATTCCTCTGCCAGATTTCAGTCACATAGTATCTTTTTACCTCTAATTAAACCCTCATCCAGAAGCCTCATGTGCTGTCTGATACCAAAAGCAGTGTGAGCAGCAAAAGTAGCTCTAAACTTAGAACCAAGAGAGCTGAGTTTAAATCCCATTTCACAATCAGACTTGGGGTAAGGCACCAATCAGCCATGTTGATAAATACAAAGTCTTCCTTGTCTATTCGGGGTTTTTGGTTTGGTTTGGTTTGGTTCATTTGGCAAAATTTAAGAAAGAGAAAAGTCTTCCCCATCTCTTGTTGAGAAGATCAAAGGAAAATGTCAACTGTAAATTACAATACAGGTGTAAGCTGTTATTACTCTTTCAGACAAAGTATGCCATGAAAGAAAATGTGCCTGTGGTTGTCCATCTCAAGCA